CCTGTTTTTTTTGTTTGTTTGTTTGTTTGTTTTTTCTTGGGGGGGGGGGTACCCCCGGCTTTACACTCGCTTTAATAGGCGTGAAACAATGTTCTCGACTTTGAGAAATAATATTTCATATTTTGTGTGTGAATTTGAAAGCATGCACAGCTTCAGTTCTACTGAAAGGCTGAGAAGACGGAAAAATGAAATCTTAAGCGATATGAAATGGTTAGAGTCAGCTTTTTATCAGGAATATGTGACCCCTGCTCAGCACATAATCCCTGTAACTGTTGTTTTTATGTGTTTCTAAAGTTGATTTCAGAATAAAATGTCACAAAAGAAATATTTACTAAAACATTTAAATTCAAGTCCGAGGCATTCAGAGTCCTGCAGTGGTCAAAGCCACCACAGACTGAAGTTTCAGCATCATACACTCCCAGAGGGAAAGCTTTTAGTAGGCTGTACACATACTCTTGAAAAAAATTTAGATGATCCGCGTGAAATTTTCAGAGCTGCAACCAAATCAATTTTACACCACTTCAAGTGCCGCAGCCTAAAGATATCGTAGCATCATCATTGGGAAAGCTGCACCAGTTCAGCCCAGTGAAGCAAAGTGTGGCATGTTTGATGCAAGTGTTTTTGTGAGCTTTGAGACCTCTATATCATCAGTGTTAAATAATCTATGGATGTAGCAAAAATAATACAAATTATAAAAATGTATTTTAAAATGTTAAAATTTAATTTCTTTTTTTTTCTTTTTTCCCAGTTTCTAAAAGGAATTTTTATGCATTTCAGTGTTAACATCTGTGACACAGAACAAATTCTTTTTATATTATGGGACTCATTTTATATTAAGTTCACTCAACAGTGAAACTACCCTTTCTGTCAATTTATCTACAATTTAAATCCTGATATTCCTTAATGTATGCAAAAGAATCACAAATTCAACAATAAGTCTCAGTTTTTCTGCGTGATGAATAAATGCTGCTGTAGTAAATGAAACAAATCTGTCAGAATGACTATTTAGGCTTAAATTGTAAGAAATAAATGTATTAAATTATAGGAAAGCTCTATTATGTCATTGCCTAAACTTATGTAATTATAAAACCAAGTTTTGTTAATTCACAGAACTCAATGTAAAACAATGAAATTTAAAATATTAAAAAATAGGAACTTACTTGTCATTTAATTGTTTATATATTGCTTAATTACTTTTCAGTCACAGGGCAGGTTTTTATTAATAGGAAAAGATACAAAACCTTTGGAAAATCCACTTAAAAGTCCCCTCCACATTTTCCAAACCTAACCAGTGGGCCAGGTCGGAGTCTTTGCTGGGTCGATTTTGTCCCATAAGCCTTATGTTTCACATCTGTGATGTAGAGGAACAGTAATACCCATTGGTACCCTGGATGGTTAGATCTGTGTTCTGATAATTCACTGAGCTGTTTGGCCATGGAAAAACCCCAACATGGTGCACGTTTTTTATGCAGATGTTAATCTTAGAGCGTTTCTCATCTATGTCGTTCAGCAGTCGGTGATCCTGCTCTGTAACTTTATGTGGTCTGCCACTTCTTGGGGTTCCTAAACACTTTACAATAATCCCGCTCACAGCTGATCGTGGAATATCTAGGCTGGAATGACTTGTTGCAACTGTGGCATCCACTTGAACTCAATGAAACTGTATGTTTGTAAAGGCAGTATGCATGGCTAGGTACTCACTTTTATACACCTATAGAGGTGTGGTCTAATATTTTTTATCTTCCAGGCTTTGTTAAAGATGCTCCATTTAAAGTAGTTTGCCATGCTGTAAATAGATTTTAAATGCGCTCTCTCTGACTTTCTCGCTTCCTGCTTACTGTAGCTCAATTAAAAGCAGATCAGCAGCAGTTCACCCCACACAAGTTTTTTTTTAAACTTAAAAAAAGTGCAGACACATCT